GATATTCTGGAACATTTTTACACTCGTGAAGACAAACTCCCTGTGCAGTGTCATGCGCATTAAGGTCAAGGACATTTGCAGGAACAAGAAACATGGGAAATACGCCATCATCCAAAAGCATTTCCCTACTCCAGCCAGTAGGTATGTACGCATCCGCTTCTCCTTGGGTGTTCGTCACTTGGTTAATATGGCTGGCGACTGTTTGACACACGTGTGTAGAGCGGTGCCAAATGAATGTAGACACAAGTTTGGATGCATCATGTGCCGTTCCATGGTAGTCACTGCTTTGCGCTTAAGCTAAACCCCCAAAAAAAGGCTGCTGATTAAAAAAACCTGAGGAGTGGAATTTGTTCCTGATGGCTTCACAAAACTAATCTAAATGAGGCTTAAAACTGCTTAAAGTATCTCAACAAATTTGTCAAGCAGAATGTCGAGCGATGACGGCAGTGGAATGGACTGTCCAGAAATGGTTTAAACAGTTGGCATTGGGAGAGGAACTAATCACTGGAGTGAAGCAGGTTGGTCATTCGAGGATGATAGATAGCGAAAAATTTTTGCAGCGATTAAGATAAGAAATTAATGGATGCGGAAGGGATGAATTAGAGAAAACCCGATAGATGGAGGGATGGAGGATGGATGGATGGATACAGGATGGATGTATGGATACAGGGTGGATGGATGGATACAGGATTTATAGACGGATGGATGGATGAATGAATGCATGGATACAGGATAGATGAACGCATAAAAACAGGATTGACGGATATAGAGTAGATGGATGGATGCAGGATGGACGGATGGGTACAAGATGAATGGATACAGGATAGATGGGCTGATGGATGGATGGATGCGTGGATGCATGGATACAGGATGGATGGATACGGAATGGATGGGAGATGCATGCATGTATGGATGAGGTATGATCTGGGAACGCATTCAAAAGCAAGGAAGGTAAGAATATCAGCAAACCTGCTGATGTCGTCTGTTTAAGGATCTAATCACTTACTGCTGGTGTTGATGAAGCTCTAAAAACTGCTTTTCACGTTTCTTCATTGACACTCTATCTAAAGAGCAATTTTTTCTGTGCTACTTTCTCGAAACCAACCTATCCTAAAGCTCCTTCGGAACGTCATTTTCCTTTCCAAGGTGTAGAAGATACCAGTCGTATTCGAGCTCCCCTTATCTACGTAGTCCTTTCGAGTTGCAACACAGAGCGTCATAGGCGCATATGAAGATGAAGGTTTTTTCATGATAACCATACAGAAAGTTTGAGGAAATTTTGCTCTAGGTAGGATTATCGCACCTTCCCCCTCCCCCGAAGTAGCACTAACCCCTTACTACCAAGGCTGAAAGGCTACTCCCGCTGTGGAAAGGTCACGTCGTCAGGGCCATTATACAACATATTGAGACTGAAGCGCCTACTTAATGGGGCATTCAGTTAAACAAATGTCAAATTCCCATGGTAACATTTAAAAAGGGCCCCACTGCCTCTCAGTGAAGATCAAATTTGGCATTTCTGACAAAAAAATTGGCCCAAAGTTGATCCGATCATATCCACCTGGAGTGTGTCCTCTGTGATTTAATTTTCCCGCTCGAAGTTATACCTTAGTAACACAGACTAAAACAATATCGCTTTTACGTCATAACGCCCCTCTTTTAGAATGGAAAAGGCTTTTACCTTTTGACAACCATCCCTCACTTCAAAAAAAAGCCACTAATTTCCCGTTAATTACCCTTCTGGCTGTAAAAGTTTTTTGGGAAAATTTTTCAACTCTGGGCAGTTACCAGCACAGAATCATCATTCCCTACAAGCCCTGTCAACAGGCACTTTCGTCAGCCCCCCTGAAGTGGAATGACCGACGGTGAGTCCAGAGAAGAACCAGGGGTTCTACAGATCAGTCAGATCCGAGTAAAACGTCTTCCCCATTCCCTTGATGCCACCAGGAGGGAAGGCAGCTGTGGATGAGTGGTGACAAGGTCTACACCTCCAGCCTGATGGTACAGTCAGACACACTCCGCGTGTTCACTGGGGAACATCTTCCAGCTTCTGTGGCAGTCATTCGAGCGGATTCTTACTCAATGAAGTTTGCTTTGTAGGAGACCAGACCTACGGCACGTAGGACCTCCATTTATCGCTCCTCATCCCCTCTCGCCCTATAAAATGGAGCAAACTTATGGCTTGAAAGGTCGAGCGCCTTCGGTCTCCAGCGGTGTGACAAGTTACCCATAGGAATTCTTCATCCTCCCGGATTGCAAGGATCTGTGGATACTTTGGCGTTAAGCCCTAATGCTAGGAGGCAGTTTCAAGAGGAGGGCTACACAACTCTTATGCAGTCCTATGGAAGTCTTCCCACATCTTCATTCCTGTTGGCAATTCCTATGATCACACCGATATTTCGTGACTTGCAGTCATTTTTCGGAACGACTCAGAGCAGAGCCATTAATTCTCACTGGTTAGTCATCTTGATCCACCCACTAGGGGCCAAGGGTCGGTACTGACGGGCGTAGGCAAGGCCCACTCACGAGCTCCTGACAATCGCCAGTGCTTTATCAGCGGCATCTCCACATCGGAGCTACCGAGGTTTCGTCACTTTTTTCCTTTTTGATATTTGAAATGCGATTGGAAGTAATCAGTGGATTTAAACAAATTTTGTGCGCCACCACTTACATCTAGACATCTCCACAAAGCTAACCTGTCAGTAGTGATAGGATTTGAAGTGTCCTTTGATAAATGATAGCTTTTATTCGGACTTTTCTGAGGGTGAAAACTTTTGTTTAATATTTGGTAAAGTGCTGCGAGTGGACTTTTTGAAGTCTGACCGCTCTGATTGACAGCCCCAGCGCCACCTGCGCTTTTGTGGACAGCCTGTTTAGAAATAGGATGACGTGTGATCGGTGGTCAAGTTAAATGAGAACTGCAAATTTTGCCGGCATAGAAGAGGTCGCTGTCGCGACGGTATTAAATACAGTGCATCATGCTGACGAACTTCAGCGCGAACCAGAGTTCGTCAGGAATGGCATTTAATGTCCCGTAAACGAGGGTGAAGGTGGAAAATTTCATGTCCATTAATCGTGAATTCGCACCCAACCACTTTGTATTCTACAGTTTGAATGACGTGAGCACTTCAAGGACCCTCAGGCCTCTCCCAATATACCTAGCTCTCCGTCTATCCGGCAGTGACGATTTCGTCCCAAAACAAAAGACATTTTTCACATCCCACAGTCTTTAGCGCTGGGCGTAAAAGTAGCTAAACAAAATTAACCTTCTTCCGGCATGATTTTGGAAAAAAACGCGTTTTTTTTCGTGACCTCGCTGCAAATCGCAGCTATTAATTAAGTTAAAAATAGGATTTACCGCCCAGCTCATGTGGTAAGGCGGAGAACTCGACTAAAGTAGAAGCGCTGTCGATACCGTCTCCTTTCTTTCACTTTCTCTTAAAATCCTCGTAAATTCTTTTTTGCACAATGAAGCCTTATTTTCCACAAATCGGCCTCTCCGTTTAAAGGCTTTGAAACCGGAACTTAGTGGAACAGCGAAATATCCCCACAGCAACTAGGTAATCACCTCAATGTAACCAAATTTCTTGAAGATTTGGAAAGCGCATATGCTTAGTTTAGTACATTTTAAATATGCATTTTGCTCCATAAATTGGTTGGGCAAAATATTATGCAAGAATTAGATGCTACTGAAAATAATTAAGTAGGTGTGACGCTTAGAGATAAAAGGGTGGGTGAATGAACGGGGTGATCAAGTAGGCTCTTGCGGTAGTTCTAGAAAAAAAGAGAAAATACCTCGAAAAACAGTTTACACTTTAAAGCAACCACTGTCACACTCCAGTCTTCTTCCAAAAAAAATGTGAGCTTATTAGGGATACCAATACCCTCGAGGAGTTTTAACCCGTAGAACGTGACATGACGTGCCCACCACCTTCAAATGAGGATTCGCCCGAACAAAATTGGTGTCTGAGGCATTTCTGGATGATTCGCTCTGCTGTCAGATATGTGACACGAAGCCTCTGCATCTTCAGTAAGGGGAAGAACTCACAGTCACAGAGAAATAGAAAAAGTTGATTTTCGGCGTTCGAGACTGTTGCATGACTCCTTCCATCCTGGGAGTCGGTTCAACTTGCGAGAAAGCCTAAGTTGTCATTCTGGAGTGACAGTGACTCCACATCATTTACGTCAGTCCCCTCCAAAGGAAGGGGACAATAATCTGACATGTGGTGAGTGTTTACAAGAGAGGGGGTGCCTGTCACTTTTAAAAAGCCTCTATTTGGAAGGTAAAATCTAGAACATTGTAGAACATTCCCCAATTCGCACTCTCGCTAAGTTTTCCGCCTCATCTAGGCTCTTCAGGACCATTCAATCCAGTCAGCAGGCACACACTCAAAAGTCGTACACCTGTACCCACATTAGAGGCCTCGTTTCCCAAAGTCTCATCTCCCGACTCTTCGGATTGGATCCAGATATTCTTCATACCATCACGTCATGGCAGATTTAGGGATGCGGAGTGTTTTGGATTGACTGTCCACAGAACCAGTTGCCAAGAATGAAACAGAGATCTCGAAAGTGACCCACGGCAGTGGAAGCTAGAGAGGAGCAGAACACAGGCATTGGTTCCGCCTACGGCTTGACCATGACAAAGGTCAATGACAGCACCCCTACTTCCCATAACAGTCGACACACACGTCATAGATCTGTCGTATTTGCAGAAGACTTCGAGCACAGGACAGTCAGGACAAGAGCAAGACACTTAGCTACCTGCAAAACGACCGACCATACTTCTCTACGGCAGTGACAAGGCCGTTGGGGACGGTCGACGGTACCAAAAACGGTACAAACCTTTTAGAGCACCTAGAAAACCATAAACCTACATCCTCAAGAAGGAACAGTAGTAACAGAAGGTATTTTTAAATGATGCAAGGAAGGCTAGTTAAAATATCACACATATGTCAGGATATCACAAAAGACGGAAGTAGGAATGGCATAGATTAAAATAACTAGGTTTCCAAGTCTCTGTTGGAACCTGCAATAGCAGCTTCGAGAGCCTGCTCCAGGGAGATGTTTCTAGTCATCAACTCCTCACAGAGGCGTTTCAAACCTTTCAGCTCGGTGGAATTCAGCGCCGCAGTGGAGGAAGACAACTCCAGACTCTTCAACTTCGAACGCAGGGTTGAGAGCAGGTCCGAGGCTAGTCGAATTGGTGTCGTGGTGATTGCGGAAGCCGAGGAGGAAGAAGACACAGATATTGAAGCATGGTGTGATTCCGAAACTAATGAGAACAAAACAAATCTTCGTCATGATACAGCGAAGGTGTCATCATCACCATATTTGAACAGTGCAGCGACTTCCTATGACGCTGTTATAAGCCAGAGGCTCTTCCGCTTGACCTAATCGTATCCAGCTTCCAATCAGGGAGACTTCAGGGAAGGTAACTTCGTTAAGTGACACATTTGGGATCTCAACTCTGCTTCAAAGCTCGGAAGAGCGGGGCGAGAAAGGAAGGAGGAAAGGTAAGGGGAGGAGAAAATAATGGGAGGGGAGAGGAAGGAAAGCTTCTCGCTCCTGTGTTCTGACAAGCTTTGGATTCATCCCCTTTCCTTCGTCTTCCTCCCCTGTGCTTGCTTCTTTTCCTGCTTCACGTCCTGGGTTTACAGTATTTCCCTGACCTAGATTAATAGCGCAAATGACTGGACTCCCTAATTCTTCCCTTACAGTAAACACAAATTCTTCAAAGCCACAAATTTGGGAACCCTCATGATGCAAGAAGGTGGCTTACTTCCGCTATCTCACGGATAACACTAGTTCCACAATTTTTCCGGTTCCACTTACCACCTTGTTGCTCATAGCCAATCAGTTTTTTTTTCGACCGTTCTGTACAATTTGACTAGCCGGAAGGCTGTCCGAGACGAAGCGACATCACCACAGTCCACACTTGATGGCTTCAACTGACTAAAACAGCCATTGACGCTCATTAAATCTAAAAAGGCTTTGTCTTCAGATCAAGGATTCAAACATTCGGTTAGCAGCGAGGCGATTTGTCGCAGTCCGAACTTGGTTAGTTGACAAAGAATGCATCACATGTCACGTACTTGTGACACCGAACTCGGGTAAAACAACTAGGAGGACTCAA